AACACTGAAATTAAATTTATACTTCACTTACGAGTGGCTTATGCGAAACCCGGTCTGATCAATGATCAATGAATCTTTAGAAAAAAAGGAGTGTCCTGCCCTGTCCGAGCATATCGACCCCTTCCCCGTCAATATTTGAAATGTTGGCGTTTTGGCCATTCAACCAAACACTGTCCGCTGCCCTCTATGTGCCCAGTCTGGCCATGCCCGTTCAAATTGCTCTCACATGTACCAGTTGCAGTGGCTCCCGTAATCTATTTTACAGGAGCTACCCTGTCTACAAGATCGAATCTGAGGTAGAAGTTCTCAGATTCAAACTAGACCTCGCTCTACGTGAGGCCAGACAGGAAGCACGCCGACGAGGTATTCTCTCTCTACCTGTCCCAAGACTGCCCTTCGCTCCGTTCCCATTCTATGTTCTCAGGATGTCTCGGCATCTCCCCCAATATCTTCTCCCTCTTCCCCGAACCATCCTACCTCTACTCCCTTTCTCTCTCCCAGTCTAAATCTAGATACTCCTATCTGTACCACCTATTCCTCCTCTCTTTGCCTGTCGCACCAGGCAATCTAAACGTTCCACCCCATCCTCTAACATATTCTCTCCTACACTCACCTCTTCCTCTGCTCCTCGGATATCTATTCCCTCTTCTTCTCATAAGTAAACCTTTGTTTCTCAGACCTCCCCACCCAAATCCCTCCTGAAACTTGAAAACATACAAAACTTCCTAAACATGACTCAAGGGAATGCTCCATTCCCTCATGCACCCTACAATCTCTCTACTCCCATTCCCTCTACATTCAAAGTAAATACCGATAGCCATCCTCCTCCACAAGTTCCCCCCCCCCCACCCCTCTTCCTCATACTCTCCCCCAAAATACCCCCATCCTCTTCTCCTTGTGCATCATTCCCCGTTCTTTCCCCACTATCCTTATCACTCCTACCTGGATGCTCACGTAACTCCCCTGTATCGTTCCTGAACCTTCACTCCTATCTCATTTCCTTGATTCCTCTCCTCTTACTACTCCATCGCACAACTTTACCCATATTGCCTGTTGATTGTTTCATATTTGGTTCTTTATCAGTTCCTCTATTTCCTCAGACATGGTACTCGCCATTTCATCCAATCCCCCTAACCCTTAAACCTTTCTTCTTTTACTTCCCCCATCTCCAACCTCTCCCGTTCTCTGTCCATTCCGTCCCTCCATGGCTTATACCTCACCCCCATATTTGCTCTTCTGTTTTCCCCGACCCACCAAAATCAAATATTCCTCCTACTGTCCTTCTCATCCATTTCCTTGACCATGTCTCCACCCATTCCTCTAGTATACACATATACTGATGGCTCCAAATCCACCTCTGGTGCTGGTTTTGCAGTAATATTCCCAACTCGTACTTTCAAATACTCCCTTACTCCTGAATCCAGTGTCCTTACTACAGAACTGTATGCACTCCTTTTTGCCCTAAAACACATATACTCGCTCTCCTCTTCCTCTTTTACAATTTTTACTGACTCCCGTAGCTCATTAACTCTCATAAAGTCAATACACAGCACCAACCCTCTTGTTTGTAAGATCCAGAACTGGTTGTTCTACCTGTCCACACGCCATAAAACAATCAAATTTTGTTGGGTGCCCAGCCATGTTGGAATCCCCGGCAATGAACAGGCAGATACACTAGCACGCCACGCTGCTATGTCCACATCATACCAACTACGCTTCTCACTGTATTGTATCCCAGCCACGGATTATTACCCACACTTTAAGACCTTCTTGTATAAACGATGGCAATCTTTTTGGTCAAGCCTCCTACTCCTCGCCATTTCATCCAATCCCCCTAACCCTTAAACCTTTCTTCTTTTACTTCCCCCATCTCCAACCTCTCCCGTTCTCTGTCCATTCCGTCCCTCCATGGCTTATACCTCACCCCCATATTTGCTCTTCTGTTTTCCCCGACCCACCAAAATCAAATATTTCCTCCTACTGTCCTTCTCATCCATTTCCTTGACCATGTCCTCCACCCATTCCTCTAGTATACACATATACTGATGGCTCCAAATCCACCTCTGGTGCTGGTTTTGCAGTAATATTCCCAACTCGTACTTTCAAATACTCCCTTACTCCTGAATCCAGTGTCCTTACTACAGAACTGTAGGCACTCCTTTTTGCCCTAAAACACATATACTCGCTCTCCTCTTCCTCTTTTACAATTTTTTACTGACTCCCGTAGCTCATTAACTCTCATAAAGTCAATACACAGCACCAACCCTCTTGTTTTGTAAGATCCAGAACTGGTTGTTCTACCTGTCCACACGCCATAAAACAATCAAATTTTGTTGGGTGCCCAGCCATGTTGGAATCCCCGGCAATGAACAGGCAGATACACTAGCACGCCACGCTGCTATGTCCACATCATACCAACTACGCTTCTCACGTATCCCAGCCACGGATTATTACCCACACTTTAAGACCTTCTTGTATAAACGATGGCAATCTTTCTGGT